GTCTTGGCGTGCTACATAGTGTTCCCAGCAGATCGATTCTTGGTGAAAGGCGCTGGATCGCTGTAGCCAAGGTAAAGTTGTCCAAAGTGAACAAGCAAACAACAGCAACTTGGTTCGCATGAAGACCGATATCCTAACACTCACCACCACACCCTTCGACGGTCTACTCTTGCGGTCGACCCCACACGGCGTGGGACTGCTATGAGTTCCAACATCCACGAGCCCAGGCGATGATGCAGACTGCCAGAAACCTTGAGGCGACCTATGAAGCATCGAACGAACAAACCGATGGAAAGGCCGGAAGTTCAGAATGAATGCATGGTGCTTGCGTGATTCTGCAAAATATAAGAGGTAGACAAGCTATTGGTCAAAGAAGCCGAAGCACAGCGGCGCATCCAGAAGGCGAGTCGGGAGGCACCCCTGTCATTGGACTGCTCACCCGTGAATGTGAAAGCGTACGCTCGAAGCTTCGGTATGCGGAGGAACAGGAGACCGAAAGCGAGCGATGGGCTTAGTGTCTTTGGACGATTGCGCTGGTGTGGGATGTCACGATTGTCAGGTACGACGACGCCAAGCGGCGCGTGGAACATGTTTACATGGCGATGCAAGCGGGGGACGCCAGCATGGAGGTCGAGCCTTGGCTGCACCCAAGGCAGGCCAGGGTGTAACGATATTTCGAAATGAGCCTTGAGGTGACCATCCTGTATGGGTCGTCGAAGCATGTGAGAATCTGAGACTCGATGCATCTCAGGATGAAGTGAGGCACTTGACACATCAGCTGGAAGACGCCAGGAAACACAAGGACACCTCCGAAGCATTGACCGGTGTGAACCACGCCTAGTCAGCGCATTGTTTCAAGAAGGTAAAGAACTAGCTTTCCAACGGCCAAGAGCAATCACAGCAGAACCTTTCCTTCCCAGACCCGTGCCACGCCTCGCAGAAGCGTCACCTGGTTCGAGGTCAATGTAATTCAGGCATGGAGCCCGTACGGACGCCGGTAACCTCTGTGAAGACCAGAGCTCCGAAGAACGGTCTGTCTGCAAGCCGGTCTGATGCTGTGAATGATTGGAAGCCTTCAGCATGTAGCTGGCTGCACGCTAAGAGCTTCTCCCACGTTCCGCCAATCTGATGGAGAGCATGCGGTCTGGCTGCGATATCTTAACACGATGCCCATACTGACGAAAGACAAGCGGGCACAGATAGATCATTGCAACCTGTCACGAGCTATGCTGGGCAGGAGCATGCCGTCTCTCTGCTGGCGAGGGAACTGCAGGCCGAGGGGTGCGATTTGTGTGTTGTGCGTGGTAGCACCAGAGAACAGGACAAGCATGGCCAGTTGTTTTTTCAGCTGCGGGGCTCCAGGTTCAACTGCTAGGGTCGGCTGGGCATGGTGCGTCCCGCCTCTCAGGGCTTGGGCGCTCGAAAGCGAAAGGGGAGATGGTGCAATTTACCAGCACGCAAGAAGCAGAGGACCGACTTTTGCCGCCCGTCTCATCCGGTGGCAGAGCCATGGCCAGTAAGCGATCTGCGAGCTTTTGATGCCCCAACCGAGGGCCACTGTGAGATCAACTATGGGCCCCTTTTGCGAGAGGTCTTGAGGGCACGAGGCTGGCGATACAGCACAGCACCGTGCCATGGTGTTTACGATGAAGACACCGATTCAAGCACTTTCTATGTAAAGGAGTTTGAAGCATGCCTTCAAGGGAAGAGCCCTTGCCAGCTCTTCGGCAAGAGCGGATCACTTGAGGATGGGTATCGCCTACAAGCCCTCAGGTTGCCTCGCCATGCTCTCTGGATGATGGGCCGGATGCCCTTTCGGGTTCCGGGCACTGCCAGGGATCAGTGCCGCTCCAGGGAAGATTTCGTTCAACTGGTTGTGGAGCACGGAACGGGACTACCTGGCAAGCCTGGCAACTACCGGATTGCCAAGTTCCCGGGGACTGAGCGCATTCTCTTCAAGACAAATTTCACCAAGGCTTTCAAGGACAAAGCATGGTATCCAACAACTTTCGTTCTTCCCGAAGACAGAAAGAGCTTTCTACGAGAAGTCAATGCCAACAAGAGTGCCCTTTGGATTGGCAAGCCACGCAACGAGTATGGGGGCGCAGGTATCTGTGTGTGGAAGGGCACCGATAAAGCTCTGAAGCGGACCATCCAAGAAATCAAATCGGGACGCTCCATCATGCAGAAGTACCTGGCCGATCCCCTGCTCCTTGGTGGCTATAAGTTCCACATGCGCATCCATTTGGTCATCACCAACCTCTCTCCACTGGAAGCTTTTGTACAGGAAAATGGGCAATGCCTTTTTGCAACCAAACCCTATCGAGTTAGCGATCAAACTCTGGGAGTGAACTTCGACCCACCGGTGCATGTGACCAACATGGGCCTCAATGCCACGCCCCAAAACAAGGACAACTTCCTGAAGGAGAAGCCGCTCATTGGCAAGGGTCAGCAGATCCGAATACGTCAGCTAATCAATCACCTGACCAGCATGAACCCAAGCTTTGACAAGACAGCTTTTTGGCAGCAGATTTTGGAGATTGCGGCGGACACCGCTTTGTATATCGGGAAAGCCGTGCAACGCCGATTCAAAGTCTTGCCAGACCGTCACTTCGAGATTTTTGGCATGGACCTCATGTTGGACAAGAAGTTCAAAGTCTGGATGTGCGAGGTCAACACTGACCCTGGAATTGGATATCCAGACAAAGAGGTTCTCGGCAGCCCAAATCCAGACTACAAGAAGGAGCTCTCAGCCTGTGCAGAAACCTTGCACGACGTGTTTGCGCTTCTTGGCCTGGATGCCGGGGTGAAACAAACCCAAGGATCCCTTCGCCACTGGTTCAAGGTTGATGTAGAGCAGGCCAACATGAAGTGACGGTGGCTTTAATCCTGAATCCTTTGAACGACGTCCACATAGGATTTGTTGTCCCCTTTGTTAGGACTGGTCCCGTGGATGTGATGTCCAGTACTGCTGCATTTTGTAATTTGTTGCGTGCGTGAGCACGCTGCACGGTGCTGCATGAGCGCACCAGTGCCCAATCCAGGGCAGACGAACGACGGGTTCGCGCCCTTCGCGTCTTCCTCCAATATTGACTTTGCTCTTCCTCTGTGTTCCTGACAGCGTCTAATTAGCCACTTCACACTATTGGAGCAAGACTCGAGTTTGCATCCACATTTTAAATGGATGCCGACTACAATATTTGCCTTTGGAACATACAAGTCCCGCAAGGATGCCGGACAATAAAAAGATGGTAAGCCAGTGCCACATGGTTGGAGTTCGACATCTGCTGCGCAACAAGTCCCTTCGATGGTGTCCATCTGTGCGGAGTGCCTGCCTGAATGAAGTGTTCCTATCGTGAGCATGAGCATGGAGGTATGAGTTGTAGCTGTTCATATATTATATATTATATATATATATATATGTGTACTTTATGTGTGTGTATATATATATATCTATGTGTGTGTGTAATATGTATGTAAAGGTGTGTATACATTTGCGTGTATGTGCGCGCTCGTGCCAGGACACACGGCAGGCCAGTACATCCACCGGAGCCACCGAGGCACATCCCCTCGTGCTTGCTGCAACAAATTGCAACAGGGCTGACAGAACGTGCTAAACTGAAGCTGACTAGAGAAGTATAGGCATGTCTTCCTGTGTTTGATCTGTGTGACCCGTGCTGTTCCCTAAACAGTGTGGGGCTATGGTAGGGTTCCGACTGAAAATTTCCAAACAAATTTGCTCCCGCCCCTGAGCCTTGCGTTGCTGATCATTGCTGCGTCTCCGCCCCCCAAAAGCGTGCTCCCGCGCCAGTGCTGTGCACCACGGGCGGACCCGTTTTCAAAACCGTGTTCCCGCCACAGTCCCGCATCGAAGCGTGTTTCTGCAGTGCCAGTCGTGTCCCGCCGCCATGTGTGGTTGTCTGCTCCGGCATTATCAGACGTCATCACCAAAATAGGAAGTAAGGGAAACAATTGCTACCCCAATTCTGATGCACTTTATAATCTGCAGGGGGCACGGGGGGGAGGGCAGGGGAACAAGGGGCGCAGATTCTGCCGCTTTTTCAAATGATAACTCATGGCCCTCATATGCTTCCAACACACTTGACATCCAAAAGGACTTTTTGAAGCCAGGAAGCTGCCCAGATGAACCTTAAAGGTGTCGGTTTTCTAGAAAGCAACTAAAGACCCGGCCCATAGCCATTGTGCATTGTGTGGCATGCCCTGTGATGTCTGACGCCATCCTCTGTGCGGCTTCTGTACTCGTATAGCTTGGAAGCACTCCAGCGTATCAATGCGCAAAGCCAGATTGAAACCTTTCCTATAGACGTCCCGCCAAAGTTTACTGTACTTGGGGCTTCTTCTTGTGACCATCATGAATGATAGTTGTGTGTTCTGCTGTGCTTCGATTGAGTTTGCCAGAAACTTCGGACGGGTACAGCCACCGTTAATGCAAACACACATGGAAACCAAAGCAAAGCGATAGGGCTGCAATACGACCATGCCAAGGTGCAAAGGTCAACAAACTCCGCCATCCAAAAAAACAACTACTCAGAAAGAACGAAAGACTGACAAATCCTGAACTGTCGAACGACACGAAGCCCTTTTCATTCTGCAGCCTGGAGCTTTTACAGACCATGTGGCGAGATGCTTTACGGATGACGGAATGATTTCTGACTGTCGGGACGGACTGGTGCCCTTTGAGGTGCAACCTCAGGCTGTGAAGTATCTGAGAACAGGCGGGCATGGTTCTGTAGAAGACTGAGCTGTTTTCGGTTCTTGGATGCTTGAACGTGTGGTTTCCGCTGAAGGCCTGAGCTGAGACGGACACAGACAACAGTCGGGCAGTCGGGCATGCGTCAAAAAGCCTGCAGGTTGCAAGTTGCAAGGCTACAGGTCCGAGCCAGGTGGACCAGGAAACGCCGCAAAGCATGTCTGTGGAGACCTACTGGTACTGGGTCTTAACGGCGGAATCTCGATATTTGGCGAGCAATTGTTCCAAGGCCCGGCATTCCGGCAGAATTATCCTACACTTTCGCCAATCGGAGACAGGCTCTCAGATGGTTTCAAGGTCTGTGCCGAAAAGGGACAGGGACAGGGACAGAACGCTCTCACGCTGCTGATCAGGGTCCAGCAGATGCCCGGAGACTTGGCCGGGCATCTCGTGGGTGCCTTAGATGTGAAGCAGCAAAAGGGGCTGAGCTAAGCGATGCGCAGCGCAGTGCTGAGCATATCTCTGTGCCTCGCAGGTGTTGGCAAACACCCTAGAGCACAAGCCCGAGTTGCGCTGCTACACAGCCGGATCATGATTTGGGACAACGACGGCCATTGTGAGTCGCAGGCCCGCACGCAACCTTCTGACGTTGCAGTTGAGCTTCGCGCCACTGGAGGCGCCTTTGTTGCGACAGTTCACACCCACAACAACCCGAAAGCAGACATTCTCCTTCAATATTTGGCGCACGCGTCTTCGAAGGTGCACTTGCCACAGGGAATGTTCAGTCAACTGCTGAAGCATCGAGCTAAGATCCTACGATCGAGGTTGACAGGCCATTCCTGCTGTGACTTACTCTGCTACACTGGAAGCGGAGGTTTTTCGAGAGGGATGTGGAGCCTTCGCAATGGCAGGGAGCGTACGACACTTCCCAGGACCTAGACCGAAAGCGGGGGACGAAGCACAAGTTTCATTCACCACGAGGTTGCTCACAGCCCCGCAGTTTTCGACAATCTCTCTGAAACTGCGAGGACAGCCTGCCAATGTCGCAGCGGGTTGTGGACAAGGTGGACAGACAGCGCAAGCCCTTTGCATCGCAAGTGTGTGAGTTCCAGAATTCTGCGGAGACAGGCTACCCCCACTTTGTCTCGGCAGGTGTATGAGCAGATCCCCGACGAAGTGCAGCTCGACGTCCGCATCTCCTCACCTGTGATTGTCGTTCCAAACTTACTCGTATCTCTCTGGTCCATGGCCTTAGCCCTTCCTAAACTGATGACTCTTGCCCTGGCATGTCCGAGTCGCTAGGGTTTAAACCTAAAGCTCGAAGGTTCTCGTTGGCTTTGCTCTAAGGTTCCTGTGGAGAACCTCGGCTCCGCGCGCTTCAGCTCTTCCCTCGAGTGTGACGGGCAAAAGACGCAGCCTTCTCCTAGAATTACTCCTCTGTGCAGGAGCGCGCACACAAACACATATGCATACGCATAGACATACGGTGACAGAGACAGACAGACAGATAGACACGCAGACCGAGTGAGACAGACAGTTATACATACATGTATATATATATATAGATATATACATATACACACACACACATAGGTCTCTGTGTGTGTGACGGTCAGAAGCTGGTAGGTAGGAATCGAGTACCGTATCTGATCTGCTGGGTTGAGCACGGATCCGTTGCCTTTCCGCCCTCCAAATTGAGATCAGGCAAGCAGAAACTTCAGACATTTTCGTTCGGCACGGGTCGCAGTGTAGCACTTCTGCTGGTTTGCACAAACAATTGGTGAGCTGTGTTCCGGACCCTCTGCCGATCGTCGCTTGATTTTTGATTTCCATGCCCGGTCAACTCCCACGTCATAGGTGTAGTAAGACGGAGCTTTTGTTGATTGATGCTTGTTCAGTGAGCTTTCGAGCAGTGACGAACGTTCGGGACTCACCACAAGTACTCTTCGACATGCAAAAGATGTGTCGCTGTTGAGAAAAACCTAATGCGATACAAAGTGCAACGCACAAGGACGGGTCAGCGGCCATGTGTCTTCGTCCCTTGAGTAAGGTCTGGGCGACCTTCACCTTGTCACTTTGGGACCCTGCGCATACGAACGTCCGTGCCTCGTGCTGCTTGCATATCGTCGGCGACCGCGCGTTCTGTGTGAACCTGGTAGCGAGAACATGTGCTGCCACTGCCGGACATTTGTGCTGGCTATTTATTGGAAGGTCTTGCTTGCAAGCTGAAGCTGGAAGACATTTCACTTCGCCTCAACCCCAGCATCAGTAAATAACAACTTTGCCAAGCCGCTGAAAAGCAGCCCAATAATTCCTGGAGTGACTTGCTGCTAGAAGACCGCAGTTGCAAGCGTTTGCGTATAGCTTCTCAAACGTCGTATCTTCGTGTCACGTGGTGAAAAGGCAGCACTACAGCAAGAGGCGCAAATTTCAATGTCGTCACGAGCCAAGACTGTGAGTGGAACTCTTGGTGCTGATGCCGCGTGGAAACGTGCCTGACCAGGTCAAACCTCTGCAGCTCTGTCTCGATGTGCAGTCTGGGGCACGGCCTCGAATTCCTAGAAAAGTTGATTGGTGGATCGGACCCTCGTTCCAACGCGAGGCTTCGGATGCTGGACGACGAAAACCACATGGAGGTCCAGGCTGCGATGAGCCAGGCCTGCAAGCCAGCAGTAAGTTGTGGATCAGTACTGTACGCTTCTGAGCAGGCTGCATTGTCTGTGAGTCCGGAAGCGATGCCGGCCTCCAAAGACCTGCCGTCGTTGCTGATACTGGTAGTGGATTTGCATCAGAAGTCAAAAACACAGGCCACAGCCACCCCCCCCCCCCCCCCCCCCCGCTCGACTGCAGCTCAGGCAGATACTTACTTCCATTCCATCGGCTTTGTCTTCGCTTCTGCCATGCCGGCATGTCACTTCCCCGTCGCCTTCTGTCTCTGGAAAAGTGTGCGCCCTCTGGCAGGGGCAGCTTCGATGAGGCTCCTAGTGGGGGTCCAACAGTTAAGGCTGCTGGGACTGGGGATCATGCCAACGCATGCAGGCAGAGCCGAGCTTTGGCCTCAGTCTCCCCTTGCTGACGGTGTCGCCAGCAGTTGCACACGGAGTCCAAAGTTCGTTCTGACGTCGGCTGACAGGAGCCAGTAGCTCTGCACGTTTCTCTCATGCCTTGTCATGCCTTCTTCAATAATGCTAGAGCAAAGGTGGGTTGCCATTCCTGCGCATGGCATGCGATCGGCATCACGTGCATGGGCTGCAGATCAGCAGCACCCGTAGAATAGAATAGCTCCTACGTTGCCGCCATGCTGGCCGCTGCGTCGCTCCTGCAAGACCCCTTTGCCAGCCCGCCTGCCAAGCCTTCTCCCAGCATATCTCAGAGTGCAGCTTGGCTAAAGTGATTAGGGTCGAGCTCGCGTCCGCTTTCCTTCTTGCAGCTTCGAAAGCCTGCGTCATGGTTCCAGTCCCAGGCCAGTCTGAAGTCGAACAGACATTCGAGAGCTGCGGGTGGAATGGAGCCGGGCTTCAACGAGCTGATGCAGCAACTCGCCGCGCAGCACAACAAAGAAATCCAACAGCTGTGGCTCGGATTTCAAGAGACAGGTCACATCACCTGCAAATGCCCGTGCTGGTCCGCAGTGTCTTCAAAGTCCTGAATGCTTAGCTTGTCTAATCTCACGCCAATCGTGCTTCGACATTCTTGACAATTGCGTCGTCCCTGAGTTGCAGGCGGCGTACTTGCCCCCATGCTCCGAATTCTTGCCTAGGAATCCATTCCATCGATGTTTGTTTGGGCTTCCTTCAGTGGCGGCGCAGACATAACGATCACACCTTCATCTGCAAGAGACACCAGATTCCCATCCACGGGGCACTGGTTGCACGCCACCGAGGAAAGTGCGCCTGGATCTTGTGCAAGCAGAAAACCGGTCCTTCAAAACTCGGATCAGCACTGTGACGGGCACGACCGGCAATAGGCAGGGCCTTACAAAGCTCTGAATTGCAAGTATTCAGCCATGTCAGCAGTACGGCAGCATGGCAGTTGGCAGGTCCTCGGCGCGGGCTTCGGAGTTTTATATGGACACCAGGCATGGCAGTCGCGCACTGCCGTGCATTTCCACAACTCGCGATTGATGAGCCATTCTTCTTGGTTCAATATTGTAAGGCCTCACCAAGCCAGGACGTAGAGCTAGCTCAGCTTTTGTCTTCAGGATCACAGACAACCTGAGCGAGGTAGGCGATAGCATGAACCCAAGGCAGGGGACGATGAAGATGCATGTGTCTTATGTCCGCTTGTGGCAGTCACACAAGCGCACATGGTTTCTGTTGCCCCTTGTGCCGCAGGGACTTCGAAGCAGATAGTTCGTCAGCCCCCAGGCAAGCTTTGATCTCATGCCTTGTGCTTGGCAGTGTCTCTGCCATCTTTGGAGCACGCAAGTTGGCATCGACGAAGTCCCACTATCGAATCGCCTGTACGGCGGCAAGAAGCCACCTGCCCTCCAATCTCAAACGACTCGCTCTGCCTACTTCGGCCGTTCACCCCAGCAGCACATGCAGCACCGAGCTTTCGGCTGCCGCCATCAGCCACTGGACCACACTGAGTCTTGCAGTCCGAGACCGGTTACCCCAAATGTTTACGAGGCTGAAAGCGTGGTGTTGCGAGGCTGTAAGCGACTGCATCCCTGCTCTTGAGTTGCATGGGTCTGTGCAAATTCCCCCCTTGACTAGAATCGCTGTCTGCGGAACAACACGTCCGAAATGCCATAGTCCCCTACTCCGCCGGGCGACGATGCGTACAAGTTTGCAAGCCCAGGGCCTTTTCACCTTGCAATACCTTGCAAAGTGAGCCAAGTTCCGTCGAATGGCATGTTGAGTTGCAGAGGCAGCCAGCCAATGCTGTTTTGCTTTGCCCAGTGTACAAGTTCTAGGTTGCGTGAGTTCCGGCTAAGGCCCATATCCTACTTGGCATCTCCACGGTGCCATCGTTTGAGTCTATGTCGGGTCATTCCATTCCCACGATGCTCCACTGCTCCTGCTGGAACGGATTGTGTGGACGCCGCTGAAAGTCCTCGAAGTCCGCTACGAGTCCTGTTGGGATTCCATTGCATCAGATTGGAAAGCGATGCGGCATCGTTGCGCACCGGCAGCGAATCGCACAACGACGTCTGTCACCCTCAAGTTTCTCGCCAAGACCGAAGCCGAAGCGGCACACAATTTGCAGTAGGACAAATGCGAATGCCGGCCACTTCTTCCCAGCCCGCGGCACTAATCGAAGATGTGTGAACGCACGCAATGAGATTATGTCAATCTTTGGATCTGTCTTGTCAGGCAGACCACCGAGACAGCGGAGGTGGCGCAGGTCGTGCCGGACGAGAGGCTTGGCTTTTTTCGGCTCCGGCTTCCGAGCTTAGTGCCGTCCTGTTGAGTCACCGTAGACTTTGTATTGCCGGCCATACGCCAGGACGGGTTGGTCTGCCACGAAGACGACATCCGTGAGGCTTGTCCCGATTCTGCACAAGTGACGGGTGAGCAAACCACGGTTTGGCGCATTGTGCAAGGACAACGCAAGCCTCGTTGATGGATGGGAGGTCGGGAGTATTATGTCTCTTGCCTTCACAGCTGTATCGGGCACTGCTCTTGCTTGAGGACAGAGACGGAGATGTTGGCAGGTGCCTTGTCTGCCTCTAACGGCCTCACGCTCCTGTCTTGTGCAAGAGATTTCCTTTTCGCTCGGTGAAGTGCCTTGCTCCAAGAGACTCAGACTGGATAGCTATCGTGCTTGTAGCGACTTTGCACCAAGCCGCAGCTCATTGAGCCGCAAGTCCTTCTACGTGCTGTGAGGCGATGAGTCTTTGGCGCTTCAGCCGAAGCCAATCGAACTCCACGATGTCTGGACAAAATCATCCTTTGGCTGCTCGACCCGAATGGCCATGTCGTGTTTGTTCAACATCTCATCGGCATCGTTCTGCGATTCGTTTGCACCCTAGGTGCCCGATCGAAGGCGCCCGGTCTATCGGTGTGCATGTGACATTGCTTGAGGGGCCACCGTGCGACGACCGGTGTGCAACAGCCGTTTGCTTGACCAGCTGTGAGAGCGGTTTCTGAATCTCAGTACATCGACGTTGCTTCGCGCTGCGCCTGTCAGGGCACTACGAAGACGTTGGGGCAGAGAATGCATTCTTCGGATCGTCGGAGTCTCAAGGGCACCCCAAAAATTGCAGGGAAACGAAAGCTGCCAGTTGTGGTTTCACCCGGAGGGCCACAAATCTCGCCTAGCTCCGTTAAGTCGTGGGCAGTAGCTTCGAACCCGTTCTCTGTCTGTATCTCGTGCAGCAGGTGGCGCTTCTTGCGCTCAGTGATGTTCTGCCGGAAATGGTGGAGCGTGTGTGTGTGTGTACAAGACGACGAGCCTCAACATGTGGGGCGGGAACGGCGACACAATCTCCGGGCATCATGACGGGGCCGCGGCTTTGGCCTGCGATCCGTCATGATGAGCCCTAAACAGGCATCATGATGGCGGGTGCGGCTTTGACCTGGAAGCCATCACGATGACCCCGAGTGTACAAATTTCAAGTTGGGCTCGAAAGCTTCAACTTGCGGGTAGTACTGTTTCTTGCTACTCGTATGTACTCCTTAACAGGAGGATCAGTGTGTGTGAAGCCCTGTTTGCCAAGGGAAGTTTTTACATTCGCAGGGGACCGCCACGGCCCCCCGTGGGGGCGTTGGTCAATCAAGAAGCACGTAAAAATTCTCCTGCATCGTATGGCGACGGGCATTCTAGCTCCTCCTGTCGGGGAGTGCCCAGGTAAGCAAGCAAGCAAGCAAGCAAG